TTGCCACCCTCCAAGCAGGCGAGACTCCTCACCATCTCGAACACGGCGTACTCGGCGCTGTAGCTCTCCCCGGGAACCACACCGGCACCGCCCACCAAGCCGGCTGCCAGGTTATCAATGATGTTCCCGTAGAGGTTCGGCATGACCAGGACGTCGAACTGGTAGGGGTTCTGCACAAGCTGCACGGAGGGAACAGGGGGACGCTGAGGCCCTGCACACCCAACACAGGCTGCGGCAGCTCAACAGCCCTCGGGACAGGGCAGGGTACATGAATCTGGTGGAGCAGCAGAACCCACTGTGTCTGAAAACATCCCCAAACTGTGTTCAAGTGACAGCTGGGAGCACAGAGAGCCCTGCTGAAAGGCTTCGGGAGCCACAGACCTACATCACCAGGCAGAGTTTTGCAAGCCCAAAGACATAGTTGTGCCAGGGGAGGTTTAGACTGGATATTTGGAGAAATTTCTTCACCGCAAGGGTTGTCAAGCATTGGAATAGGCTGCCCAGGGAAGTGGTAGAGTCACCATCCCTGGAGGTACTGAAAAGGCATGTAAAAGTGGTGCTTAGAGACATGGTTTAGTGGTGGGCTTGGTGGTGCTAGGTTAACAGTTGTACTTGATGATCTTAAGGTATTTTCCAACCTAAAGGATTCTGTGATCTAAATGCCCCTGCAACCTTCAACCCCTGCAGCTGCTGCCCTCAGCTGGAGCAGAGCAGGGAGAAGGCTCCTGTCTCATGCAAGGAGCAAACCTCGGGCCACGGCAGCCACCTGGACCTGCCAAGCTGCCCGTGGCAGCGGCGCTTAAAAAAAAAAGCTTTTCAGGTTTCAGACTTTTATGGCTTGGCTCAGCAGGCCCAGCAGCAGCAGGCAGTGCAGAACGGCTCTGGGGCAGGGAAGCGGGATCCTCACCTGCATGCAGCAGTTGTCAATGATCATGGTGTCAAATTTGATCTTGGGGTACAGTTCTGCCACTTCTTCACAACACTGGAGGAAGAGCCCATCACCTAATTTCCTGAGAAACAAGAAGCACGTTAAAGAGGCTGCAGGACAGCAGCGAAATCGTTACAGCAGCAGGTAATCCAGTAAGGAACTGGTGTCCTACCACAGCAGGGCCAGGGAAGGCAGGCAACCCTAGAGCACCCCACCCCACCGCACACCCACACCCACAGGTGGGGAAATCAGGGCCCAGGGGGAGCAACAAGGGATCAGCTTTCAGTGCCAGAGCTTTTCCCCTTCTTGGCTGACAGCCTGCAGGATGCAGCCTGCAGGATGCAGCTGTCAGGCCTCAGCAAGGCTCATGCTGGAGGCAAGACCATAGAGAGAGAGAAAAATGCTATTCCCAGGGAAAGCCCAGCCTCTCTGGAACCAGACTGGCATTGCTCCGATCGGGATCAAAAGCTGAAAGCAACAAGGTCTGAGACGTGACAGCGGTCGCGCGTCTGACAATCAGGCAGCGCTCCAAACCTGCTCCTGCAGCACTCACATAATGTTGGCTTTGTGCACAGCCGTGACCTTAGAGCGCCCTTTCTTGGTGGCGTAGTCAAAGGCGAACTTGGCAATGCGCTGCGACTTGGCCCGGGTGATGATCTTCAGGCACTCGATGACTCCCTTTGCGCTCTGGAGAGGAAAGGGAGTGTGAGCAGCCGTCGCCCGCGCCAGGCAGCCCAGCAGCCCGCCTCACCAACCCACAGCACGCCGAACAGGCCCAGCACTTCGCGACAGAGATGAGGTGTCTTTGCCTGATGCTGGATCACCCCCCATCAACAGCTTCAACACCCATGTCTCTTTTTCATGGCATTATCCCTCCAGCAGCCCACCACCATCCTCGTTGGGTCTGCCTGTATCCATGCCACTAAATAACTCTCCTCATCCACTCGCTGTCACTTGGTACACCACTGCTGCTCCAGCCAGCTCCTCAGCCATGCTGAACAGCTCTGGTACGGAAAGCATGAATGTGTCTTCAGCAGCGAAGAAAGCTACGCTTCCCAGGGCAAGCTTCCCTGTCCTTCGAGGCCAGCAATAACCCCAAGCAGAGCACCCGCATGCTGGAGCGAGGCTCCTGTACCTCATGTTCCAGAGAGCTGTACTCCCCCTCCGTCTGCTCACGAATGATCACAAGGTCCAAGTTGTTGTGGCGTGTTTTATAGCCTGGTAAGCTCTTCACATGGACAACATTTGCAAACAAGTCTAATTTGCGCCTGCGAGAGAAGCAGCAGCAGAGTCGGCATTTCATCGTTAGCTATTTCTGGGGCAGTGACTGTTCCCTACAAGTACTGGGGGTAACAGCTGCTCACAGTGCAAACAGCTCCCCACCTCCTAATGTGCCTTCCCATAGCTATGTGTCTATCCACCTACCTTTCCCCTCACGGGCCATAAGCCAGCCACACCTCGTCACAGCACGGCTTCGATGAGCCTCTGTCGGGCAGGCCACCACTGTCCTTTTTCCAGCCTCCCACTGCCTCCTCTCCAGCACCCCCAGGGAAGCAGCAGCAGGATCACACTCAACAGAGGCAGCTCCTGGCCTCGGGCAGTCCTTCACGGTCTTCTGCTTCCCGATAACGTATTAGTTTCCCATCTGTGCTGGACCCACTCCCTTCGGCCCCCGGTTCAGCGGCAGAACGCCATGACCAAATGCAGTACAGTTTTCCTAGCGACTGACGCGTCAGTCGGGGGACCGGGCTTACCTGAGCCTCATGTCGTAAGAAGCCAGCTCTCCCTTGTACTCCATGGGCGTGTGGATCTTGCCTGCGGGACGACACGGAGCAGGAGTAAGAACACAGAGCCCGGAGCGCACTGCCAGCTGCTAAGGACTGTCGCCTGGGTTCAGGCGAAGGGCAGCCAGGGTCGGGGCAGGGGCTGCTTCAGGAGAACCTCAGCCAAGCGCGGAGACTGATCTCCTGCTATATGGGGCCCTGACAAGGCCCTTTGCTTCTCTGCGCCATAGTAGGAGATCTCGTTTCAAAAGCAGAAGCTGGATATAAGCTCCCCTTTGGCAAGTTCACTACCTGCTTCAGTAATTTGCTGCTTAGCTTAAAGACAGCATATTATTTCCTTCTCCAGGCCCTAACCACAGAAATTCCTGCCCTCTGAAAGCACCTAATGGTGTTGAGATAAGGCAACATTTCCTGCCGGCAGAGCGGAGAGCCTCTCCTTGCTGGACAGACCGCTAGCACCAGTCCTTACCGATAAGGGCCACTTTACTTTCCTTCATAGAGTCAACCACCTGATCCAGTTTTTCTTCTGATGCCATGTTCTGCACCTCACTCAGGTGATGCTCATCGAAGATGACAGGCACACTGGCAGCCTGCAGGAGAGATGCAGAGAAAGAGCCACCACCCCGTCAGATCAAAGACTCAGCAGGGAGGTTACGCTATGCATTAGAGGGCTGCTGATGGGGGGCTTGGAGAGCTGGGACACAACACCTTAAGTGAGAAGAGGGAACCTGGACCTCTGGGTCACTTCAGTTCCAACTGAACAACCATGATTTCTGTCACCTTCAGCACCAGGACTCCCCTTCCTTACTGTAATTATAGTTTCACCTGCATAACGGATATCATGGCATACAACTCCACGTTTGCTGCCTTTGACGTGACAGAACTTGTGTTAGAAGACAGAACTACTGACTTCTTCCCTGAGCTCTGACGCTGCTGCCTGAGAGCAGGGCTCATCACAGGTTAGGAAGTTGGTCAGAACAATGTAAAGGGTTTTGGACAGCTGGACAGTGACAGCCCTGTGGCCACGCTCCCGACAGGAGCGGTGAGGATGGCCTGTGTGCTCCCCCTCACCAGCCCAGAGAGCATCAGTGCTTGCTGCTGCCTCAGCAGAGGGAGAAGGACCAAGCAGGAGGTGGACCCAGACTCTGCTGGCTCCAGGACACAGTCCCAGACTGGGAATATTTTCACACTGAAGAATGGGACAGCTTGCAAGACTGCTGCTCAAGCTGAACCTATTTATGGAAAGGGTGAGATCCCACGATTTTCACAACCGGCTCTCTTCTGAACTGGAGGAAACAGACAGGTTTGTCTTGGAGGGTGTCTGATCAGCAGCATCTTTAAGCGACTCTGCAGCTGCTGCTCCTCCCTTCTCCGTCCCCCCCGACCCCCAGGGGGTGGAAGCCGTTACCTTGAACACCTCCTTGACGGCGTGCATGAGCTCCGGGCCCACCCCATCTCCGGGCAGCATGGTGACCTGGAATGTGCTCTCAGACTTCACGTTTTCTGACTGTGCAGAAAGCAAAGAAGAGTCAGACCTTCCACTGCACCCCAGAGCCTAATCCAAACAGGACCCTTAGCCTGCAAGCAGCGAACTAGAGGAAGGTTACTTGCAACGTGAAGAATATCCGCACCTGTAGCAGTTTTCAGAAACAAAAACTTACTACAGTACTAACAGTGAGCTTTAACTTGAAGAGCTCTTGCTCCTGTGCTGTTATGAACACACCACGCAGCAGACACCTGATACCCTGTGAGCCGCTGGCAATCTAAAGACCTTTTCCTCATACAGCATTTCCAGGTGCAATCTCTCCCTCTGCACAGCAGAAATCCTTCTAACTGGAAGCTAAGAGCACAATCTTGTGTTGTTAAATTTTCCCTCGTTTCTACTTCATATCCTCAGGATCTTCTAAGCCTCCCTGCACAAGTCTCACCATCCTGTTGTATTCATCGTCTCACAGCTTTTTGTTGAGCATGTTTTTTTTTGGTCCTGAACACAAAATCAGTCTCAAAGGTAATTCTTGAGATGTTCCACACGTGATGCACCTCCAAATCAATGCTGCCTGCTCCCCCCACTTAGCTGCCTATTTTTACACAGTCCTTTTACTAATCCCCACCTTCTTTAGTCAATAATTCCCTGTACAGAGCTGACCTCCAGGCACAGGATTTCACAGAATCAGTCTCAGAGACTACACAGTCACAGTAAGAGGTAAGAATTTCACCTAACAAACAATTGATTTAAACAACAAAGCGAGTAAACAAGCAGCAATGCCATATGACACGGGAAATGCACGTGCATCAGTGACATGAAACATGACACGTGGGCAAGCAGTGACCACAGAAAGGCAAAATGAAAGCATGAGTGTGAAAAGAAAAATGGTTTTCTTTACTTTTGATTTGTAGTATCTCAGAGAACACAACCACAGAGTCACATTCAAGGGCAGAAAACCTCGCCTACCATTCAGCAACTGAATTTCAAAAAGAGGCCAAGCATCTGCAGAGGGAACCGCAACAGAGGCCCAAGCTTAAGGTTAAAAGAACACAGTCTAGTGCCAAACCCTTCCCTTTAGTGACTTAAATAATAATGTGAGACCTCTTCATTCACAAACGGGAACCAGGCACAAACACACCACCCTGTCAGCCCGAACACGACTGACATTGATTCTCTACCTGGTACCAGGGTTGCTTCTCCCACTCTTAGTTCCATAGAAAACAACTCGCCTCTCCAGCACAGCTCTTATTTCCTGACCACAGAGTCTGAGTAACGCTTGCATGTGCTAAGCTACTACTTGCTCTGACCTTATCCAATCTCTACTAATTGTCGTGTTATTTCCTGTGTTATTTTACGTTAGCTACAGATTAAACAGCAAGGACTGGATCAAAAGGATTTTCACTACTGCATTAACACTGCACTCTGGCTAGTGGTTTTAGCTGTATCAGCACAAAAACGCTCACCATTGCAACCCTGCCAGCAGCCCCTGCACGCAGGCGAGGCAGAGCCGGGAGCCAGAGGGCCAGAGAGGAACATCCGGGGAAGGAGGGAGCAAGGCCGGACAACACGCTCCTCTGAGTGTGTGCAACACTGTCACCACCAAGCGGAACCCACGCGGGAGCCCGTGGCAGGGAGGGCATGGTGCTTTCCAAGCACACCCGCAGGCTGCGGAGCAGCAGAGACCCTCTCCTGAGCAAAGCAAGCCCAATCCCACCTGCAGGAACCATCCTACGCCTTTTAGGTGGTGACAGGGTCCTGCGATGGCCTTCTGCGTCCTCTGGCTACGCAAAACTCCTCCCGGGAAGCCCCCACTCTGGCCCCCTCGCGTGCCCAGCCCCACAGGCTACGAGCACCCCCTGCCCCAGCCTAAAAACAGCGACAGCCTTT